CTAAAATTCTATGATTCCATATGAGATCCAGCGTATACAGTACAGAACTCTGTTAATCTTTAAGAAGACAACCTATCGTGTGCCCCCCATGTGCCTCTTCACTTAAGGAGATAAGATAATTCTAGGACAGCTGAAGGCCAACTCAGGATATTGGATTTTGGGTATGGAAACAATGCACTGAAGCCAAGTAACTTTTCTGTGACATTTTAGTGGCTATTAGTGCCTCCCATCCCAATTAATGTTAATAAAGCTGTCTTTTAAAGCAAGAGCCTACATCTCAATATGCATGATTTATTCCTCAGATCCTTGCCAAATTACTCCCATGTTAAAATTATCCTATCTCATTTGTATACTTTTCAATTCCTGTATTACTAACTTCTACCTCTTCTTAAAAAATCTTAATTTTGTGTCTAAAGTATTTTCAGAGAACCAAATTAAATGTAATTTATACAGCAGGAGTTGGTCAGTCACTGGCAAAAAAATCTGGCTGTGTATTAGTTCAGCCTAGTTTAAATAGGTCTCATGGGTAATTGTTCCCACTGAACAATGAATTGATTTCCAAGTGAGCATGCCAGGCAAAAATATTTCTGAGGGAGAAAAATGGAAAAAATTATAAGAACATTAAAATTACTAAATCTGACCTTGCAAAATAGACATTGGCTATATTAAAAAGAAAGGAAAGAAAATGATGAGTTACTGCTGACATTATGAAAAAGAGAGACAAAAGTTCCCTCATCTTCTAAGCAGCTCATTTTCTTTCACATGTCAGACAGAGTGATTGTTGGAGGCACCAGATCCAGCACCAGAATAATAGGTTGTCTGATTGACAAATTAGAATCCCTCTTCTTTATCATCTCCTGTAAAACTCAGGCTATGGCAACCTGTGACCCTTCAGAAGTCCATTCAGGAACACACATTGCAAAGCTGAATACATCACAGAGGGAAAATAAAGATTTCCTCATAATCCAAAAATAAATTATATGCAATTGGATATGGCTATGCTGCTTGCAGAGTGAACAAATAGTTTATTCATACTCATCCCAAAATTGATACATTTTTTATAGAACTTACAGAAAGAGCAAAAAGAATAGAAATTCAGTGGTAACCCTTCTGGTGACAGAGGCTGTAGTGCAGATATACTTCCTTACTTAGACTATAGAGATTGAGAATGATGAGATGGTCCCTCAATTAAACTAGTTAGAGATATTCGGGGCGCATCCAGACAAGCGTGTACTTGCCTCTTGCAGCATCTCAGACCAGTTCAAGATGCCAAAAGAGGCACACTGAAAACAAAAAAAATGTTCTCCACACTGCACATTTACAGCACAGGCTTAAAATTTAAGGTATCAAAAAAAACAAAAACAAAAAAAAGGGGTGGGGGGGGAAGCAGGGTAAGACACAGTCCCAGACCATGCCATGAGGTAACCTGGAAGCTGGTGCTCCAAACAGACACTCTGGTTTCTGGCCAGAGTGTCTCTATGGTGTTTCTGCAGCCCCAGCACGTGGAGCACACACCCTTAGCATACTGGAGCAAGCAGAAGGCCAGGGCAAGCCTGTGGTGTGCATGGTACCTGGGTGCTGTCCCAAGTAAGTTAGGGACATGGGGGTGGGGAGGTTTATGGGTATGGGGGTGAGGAGTGGCAGGGAAATGTGGGGGAGTGGCTGGGGATGAAGGGGTGTGGGAAGTGGGGGATGTGCCATCTGTGGGTGGGTTTGTGGAAGGGCTTGAGCAGGGGCTGCCACATGCCAGCCCCCTACTCACTCCCCACAGTTCTGGCAGCAGCAGCCAGGGCGGCCATGGCCCAGTCATGTCAAACAGTGCCGTGGTGCTGTGTGACGTGGGCTCTGCACATGCTGAAAGGACCTGGCCTGGCCCACTAACATGGCTTTGGACAGGACCAGCAAAGCCTTGTGCTAGCAGGTCAGGCCAGGCCAGGCCAGACCAGGCTGAATCTGTGCAGCACAGAGCCCTCATCATGAAGTGCCATACCACTGCTGTGCCCACTGTGCCAACACTACAGGGAGAAGGTGGGGTGGCACATGTGTGGCAGCCTCCCACTTGAGCCCCTCCACAACCCCACCTACCGGGAGGCATGACTCCGGGACATGTAGCTCCTATGCAAAGGTATGCACTAGCTGCACAGGCCAGGCCAGGTTGCATCAGTCAAGTTCTCCATGAGGCTTAGGCAGCAATGCACAGCCACAGTGCTGCACCTATCATGGGCCATGGCGCATCCCCACCTGAACCTCATGGAAAATGTGCCCGGCCAGCCTGATGCGACCCAGACAGGCCCACACAGCTAGCAAGTACTTTTGCGCAGGAGCAGTGCATCCCAGAGCCACACCTAGTCCTGTGGAAAAGCACACTAGCAGTCCATGCCAAGCTGGAGTGGGTCAGGTCCCACCAGGCACATTCTCCACACATAGACCATGGGTCTGGCAGCACTGATGCTGGCACAGCCTGGCTGGCACTGCAGGCATGTGGCAGCCCCTCCCATAAACCCGACACCCCCCTACATCCCCCCACCTTCCTCCTGTAAACCC